CTCACTGGAATCGACGTTATTTCTTCACGGTATAAGTAGGTTTCGAAACTTATTATTATTGAAGAATAAGAGATCTGATAAGTATGCAGAACAGAAGAAGCATCGTTTATTGCAATCTCACAATAAAGGTGATACAGCAGAGGACTTGTCTTAAATGGCATATCTATAGTGTGGCCCACTTGCACCTGTGATCGTGCAATAAAGTGGCACCTTCTGCATGATGCCCAAGACCCAGTACAGAGTTTTGACGGAGATGCTCGGACCCGTAAATGCAATCTACTCCAGATGGGATGAGAAAAGCTAAGATAAATACAAAGGTATTTCAAGGCCTACTCATAGCGTTGTAAGAAAAACTCAAATATTGCTCCTTAAATAACTTAAAACGACATTGACTAAGTGTTAATGCAATTTTAAACTTTGAGTCACGTTGCCATCACGCAGTCCGTCGACTGCACGAGGTCGCCGACAGGTGGGGCAGAAGGGACAGCACGATCTGAACCCTCATGCCCTGGTGGCCAACGGAGCGTGAGCTGGTCGGACAGCCTGTCAATCACGCTTTGGGATCATGGGTTGGGTCGGGTCGGTCCCACCGACTATATTGGCTACTGGAATGCCGGCTTCAATTTATACGCTAAGGATGATAAGCGGGAGCATGGTGCTGACGATCAAATGCAAGGCAATGAAAATAACTAGAAGACCAACTTCCTTAAGAAATTGGATAAAGTGAAACGAGACTTGCTGAAATGACTCATGATTAAGAGTAATCGGTATAAGTATAAATAGCAACTATGATTAATTCTTGAATAAGAAGTTGATCAGCCAAGGTCGACTAGGATGAGCTGAGAATTTCCACCTATAAAATAAACAGGCTTTATGATAGCATTAAATTTCACCCAACATTATCTCCCAAAAAGATTTCCTATCCAAACCAGACAACATTTTGACCTCGCCTGGATCCCATCAACAATTCAAAACCGGATCATGCGCATCGCGGTAGCGCGTAATCATGTGTTTTTGAATCCCATCTGAGGTGACGAGAGAAGTGTGGGATA